GCAACAAAGCTCCGTCATCAAGTAATTTGAATCGAAACCACAATTTTCCCTAGAGCTACATGAAGACTAACCACACCTAAGTGTCACATCATGAAAACAGATACATTTCCCAGTGTGGTTTGTTTCTTTTTTTGGAGGGAAAACTCAAATGATGTCATCCTACTGATGAGGCAACCTTTTTTGTTTAATTTGGACGACTTTGAGATAATGATTAGGCCTTGCTTTATTAAAAACTTGGCCGAATAATTTTCATTCAGCCTCTTACCATTCAGAAATTAATTAAGTCAAGTCCAAGGTTGAGATTTATGGTGAAATACACGCCTTTGGATGGCGACATTGGTTTGCTTTGAGCCTCGTGCTGAACTGCCTTGAACTGCTGATAAGCCCCTTATTTGTAAATAGTTTTTCCCTTCCAAGAAACATTCCATAGTGGTGACATCATCACTCAGAGGCCCTGTCACCCGCAGAGCCCACTAACAATGACCGCTCCCTGCTTTGACTTTATTAAAGAAGTGCATCTCATAAACCACATGGGGAAACATGAATGCATGTGCCGGGTGTGAGCTGGGAAAGTGTTACTCGTCTGACCCGCTCCAGACATTGACTAATGGGTAAAAATAGTAAGTGAGCGCCTCTCAATTACTTCTAAACTGTGTCAATGAGAAGCTATGTAGAAAAATGCTACATTACAAGGAAGAATACATGTTATAATAGGAAGGAGAATCTATTTATGTATTTTAAGAAAGAAGAACCGACTGTATTTCGTAACAGTTAAGGAAAGAAATGTGTAATAGTAGGTGTGGGGAAGTAAGTAAAGTTTATTTATAAAGCGCTTTTCACAGACAAAGTCACAAAGTGCTTGACAAAACAATAAAACATCATCATAGGAATCGTACTATGATAATGACCACACAAGCCACGTGTTGAGAAGTCATAAAAGCACCAAAACACAATAAAAACACAATGAAAACACAATAAAACACAATGAAAACAAAATAAAAAAGAATAAAATCAAGCACACCGGTTACCCAAACGCCTTCCCAAACAGGAATGTCTTTAAATTATTTTTAAAGGAGTCAACAGAGTCAGCAGACCGTAGATGAGCGGGCAGAGCGTTCCATAGCTGAGGAGCCACCGCCTCGAACGCCCTTTCACCGGGGGTCTTAAGGTGGGTACGTGGGACAGACAGTAAATTGTGCATACTGTGACCTGAGTGGGCGTGCTGATGTATAAGGATGAATTAGGTCAGCCATATATCTGACCGTGTAGGTGAGGGTGAGGATTTTGAACTGTATCCTATAAGCTACAGGGAGCCAGTGAAGAGATCTGAGTATTGGGGTAATGTGGGACCGTTCATTTGACCGGGTGAGAAGTCTTGCAGCTGCATTTTGGACTGCCTGCAGACGACCAAGAGCAGACATGCTGAGAGAAGAGAACAATGCGTTGCAGTAGTCAATGCGAGATGAAATAAACGCATGTATAATCAATTCTAGGTCGGGTGTTGAAACTACAGCTCTCAGTTTACTAACGTTTCGTAGGTGGAAGAAACAAAATCTTGTCAGTTTCTTAATATGGGTATCAAACGACGCGGATTGGTCAAATATTACCCCTAAGTTACGTAGTTTGGAGTTAGCAGCAGAGGAATATGGTCCAATACTTTTCAAAATCATGGGGCTAACCTTTTCGGGTGCAACAACCAGAACCTCCTTCTTATCAGCATTGAGTCGTAAGAAGTTATCTGCAGTCCAGTCCTTAATAGCACTAAGACATTCTAAGAGCCTAGATATCCTAAAAGCCTCACTAGGTTTGAATGAAATGTGGAGCTGGATATCGTCCACGTATAAGTGATATGAAATGTTAAATCTGTTTATGATCTGTCCTAAGGGTGAATAACAGAGGCCCCAAGACCGAGCCCTGCGGGACACCACAGGACAGTGGAGAGGAGTCTGACACAAAGTCTCCAATCGAGACGGTGAAACTTCTGTCAGCAAGATATGATGCAAACCAGTCTAGTGCTATGACACCCACGTAACCTCTTGATCAGGATATGGTGGTCTACAGTTTCAAACGCAGAACTTAGGTCAATAAGTACTAACACAGAGCAATCACCCACATCAGAAGCCATCAGGATGTCGTTAGAAACCCTCAGGAGGGCTGTTTCAGTGGAGTGCTTTTTCCGAAACCCCGACTGGAACTTATCATAAATATTGTGCCTCTCCAATGCAGCATTGAGTTGGTTAGCCACAACCTGAACTTTTGACAGAAAGGGTAGTTTTGATATAGGCCTGTAGTTCACGAGCAGATCTGAGTTAGTTTTCTTCAATATGTGTCACGGTTTGTGAAACAAGCAGGACCCAAATGCAGATATAAACTGAAACTTCCTTTATTTCAAGGCTATGATATATATATATATAGACAATGACAAAACAGAACACTCACCGCAGAACTAGTCAGGGAACAAGACGAACCGACCAAGACAGACAGACAACCCAGAACTTAAATACACACAAGACTCAATCACACAACAAGACACAGGTGAGGAGGGAGGAGAAAACACAGGGGCCCAGGTGAACATAATCAGACAATTAGACACACCAGGGAAACTAATGACAAGAGGAAAACACAGGGAAAAGGACCAGACAATAACCCAAAGGAAAACATGACATGGAAAATAGCAAAAACACCCAAACCTACAAAACTATAAACGTGACCTAACATGAGAATCGTGACAATATGGGCTGAATAGTGGGATGCTTAAAATAGGAAGAGAACCATCCTGTAGACAAGGAAGTATTAAGAATGGCTGATACAGCACTGCCAATGGTTGGTAAAACTTTTAAAAATGGGGAAGTTGGTATTACATCCAGAGGGCAGGAAGATGGCTTCATTCTCCTAATCAAATCCATCAGGTCTTGTGAGTTGATAGGTTGGAAGGAGCCAAGAACAGAATGGGATGGAGAGGGGCTAGAGTTGGGCAATGAAGTCCCAGGATGAATACTGGACCTAATTGATGCTACCTTATCTACAAATAAGATAAGGCAGTCATCATCATAATTGCAGTCAGCCTTTCGAAAGACATGGTAATGTAGATAGTGGGTGGTGAAACAATGTTATTAATTGTGTCAAATAGCATCTTGGGATTTTTTTGTTGTTGAAGAAATTAACGTAGCAAAGTAAGCAGTCCGGGCTTCTTTTACTAATGCATTAAAATAATATCTTAGATCTTTGAGATATAGGCGATGCACTTCCAGCCCAGTGGTTTTCCATAGTCGTTCTGTCCTGCGACACTTCCGCCTCAGGCAGCAGACAGCTTCTGTTATCCATGGAGAAGTGTTGCAGATAGCTCTCCTATCCTTTAGCGGTGCCACTTTGTCCAGCAACGTGGAGCAATGCTGATTAAAAGACTGTATTAAAATGTTTACATCATTCATAGTGTTATTATCACAGCAAAAGTTGTACTGTGAACTGATCAAAGTGGTACCTACTTGGTGTGAAAGCGGCTAATGTCTTTTATATAGTACTGCCATACTGTAAAATGACAGAAGTTGTAGTCTCTTTTTGTGCAGTTAAAACAAATTTAGTTTTACATTTGGCTTTCTGTATTTGTAATTACAGGGCATTAGTCAATTTAGACTCAAAATTAACTAATGAGGGTCAAGAAGTCATAAACTTTGAATCAAGTATTGGGGGGATTGGCAGTGTTTTCTCTTCACTTATTCTACAGTCAAACTAATGGTCAAGTCTGAGTGTTTCTTCCACCTCAAATACCTAAGTAGCCTATACATCCAAATGGGAATGTCGTAACCATGGTTGAAACAAAGCGCACATTGCATTTCAACGTGATGCAAGCACAACACGAGAATGTGTCACACTTAGAAGGAGAAATGCCCACTATTGCCATGACCTTTGACCTAGGCTACTTCTCGCTCTGAAGGAGAAGTGAGGAAACAGAGTGCAGGAGGAACAGGTTGAGAGCAGGAGGAAAACAGGGCATTACTATACCAGGGTAAGAAACTATTAACAATCATAATTACATTTGTATAGCCTCAATTTAACCAGCTGTTTTTCAGAGGTGGGAGAAGTACACAGATCTTGTACTTAAGTAAAAGTAGAAGCAGAGTGTAGGAATACTCTGCTACAAGTAAAAGTCCTGCGTTCAAAATGTTCCTCAAGTAAAAGTAGTTAATTTTGATACTTTAAGTATATTTTGCTTATAAAAATGTGTACTCAAGTACAATTTTGAATGCAAAACTTTTACTTGTAATAACTGTACTGGAGTATTTTGACTGAAGCTAAAGTAGTTAAATAAATGTAGTGGAGTATAAGTAGGCCTACACTATTAACCTCTGAATTGTGGGTGTAGAAAGCATCAAAAAGTGGAAATACTCAATTTAAGTACAAGTCTCTCAAAATTAAATGTACAGTAAATGTTCTTTACACCCAGTGGTGGGAAGTGACTACTCTAAGTACATTTACTCAAGTACACTACTTATGTACAATTGTGTACTGTCTTGCACTTTATTTGTCCACTACATTTATTTAATACCTTTAGTTGCTTTGTAAATTTGGATTAATAATGTGAAATATAAACAAAATGTATAAGATTAGTTACACCTGGATTAACATTCAAAAGCAGTATACAAAGTGATTAAAATAAGTCACCACACTTTACCATAATTGATACAACACAATAATGCATAAAAAATAGCCTACTAAAACATATAATACATACATATTATTCTGAAACGGGCCAATCTGCATTTATAACGAGTTCTGGTTCTTTAAGTATTAATGCTAATACTTTTACTTGAGTAACATTTTGAATGCAAGGCTTTTTTTCTGTTTAAATACTCCTCCTTTGTTTTGCATCAATGCTCAGTATTGTATCTTGTGTTCGGTTATCGTGTTGTTTACATGTGCGTGCTGACTGTTTTTAAAAAGGGATACCACGTGACTAACTGCTCCAGTAGTAGGACGTCCCTGCGGTCTCTACAGTACAGACAAGTATTAGATAACACGACAAGAAGGAGGACCCTCCCGTGGGCAGTGGCTCTAAAACCCTTCAACGTGACTGTTTTCACGGAGCTGTCAGAAAATACATCTCATTCCTCTGGATAAACTGTGACGAGTTTGTGGACGAAACTATTGAATACTGACGCGAATGGTAAGAGGGAATTTTACGCTTCCTTGTTTTTGTGTTACGTTATTCTTTCATGTATTCGACTTTGGGTTTATTTTGCACTTGTTATATAAAGATTTGAACTAAAATGTATGGAGTTTTAGTTGTTCTTAACCGCTATAGCAGTCGTTGTCAATGTCAATATTTTTGAGACGGTACGTTTTATTGACTTTATGTTACATTATTCTTATTTGGGTTTATTTTGTATTTGTGAGAGATTAATTTGAACTGAAAAGTGTGTAGTTTTAGTAGATTTTAACCGCTTTGGCAGTCTTTAGTACACATTTTAATACTTTGAGACGGTAATGTACGTTTTATTGACTTTATATTACATTAATCTTTCACTCATTCTTATTTGGGTCTATTTTGTATTTGTTATGTATACATTTGAACAAAAATTGTTGTAGCTTTAGTAGACTTTAACGGTACCGCTTTGGCAGTCGTTAGTAGGCTACACATTTGTAATACTTTAAGATATTGACGCGGATGGTAAGACGGAATATACGGCTTTTTTCTTACGTTACATTATTCTTTTACGTATTCTTCTTTAGGTTCATTTTTTATTGATACATTTGACCCAAAATGTATGCGGTTTTGGTAGATTTTAAACGCTTTGGCAGACGTTAGTACCCAATTTGGGTAGCCAATGCTCGTGTTAACGTTTTTTAATGCTTTGTTACTGGTTATATTTAAATCATTATTTTGTTGATGTTCTGTGTGTTGGGATGCAGGGTGTCAGTCGCTCATTGAGCCACATCCGCAGCAGTGAATCTAACTGCGTCACCAAGATATTTCTCGACAGTTGAGTCACATTACAAAGCCTTTAAGTGAAATATCCGGTGGTATTTTGTTCAATATTGCACCATAATACTTTGTGGCTGCAGAAATAGTTGGTGCATTTAAAATGTTGTTTTTCTGTAATCTGGGACACCGAGCACTAACCTGATCTCCAAACCGCGCCCACTCCTTTTTCGACACAAACAACAACTTTCACGCGGAGAGAGCAGCCCTGTAGTTACAAGAAAACACTTGTGGTTTTGGTTTTGTGTTGCTACATCAAGTATTTTTTCCTATTTATCCATGTGTAAAGAATATATAAATGAGAAAAATGAAGCTGTACGGTTTACATGTATCATTAGTAGTAATTACAGTAGTACGCATTAAGTAAATGTGTGAATTTGTCGCCCTCTGTGGTTTCCAACCTTTCCAATACATGGTTTTTAACAGGTTGAACAAGTATAAGACATGGTAAAATGACAGGCTGTTTGACTTGTGAAAGTGCTTTAGAGCTGTATTTTGTTGGTGTCAAACACTTATCCAACGCTTTTTTTGTACTTAGTTAAGCAAGCCAACAAAGGCTTTCCAATTATTTGTATTTCTGTAAAATATATATTTGGTGCAGGGCTGATTTAACCCACAATGGGACCCTCCTTTAGCATCCCACTTTCCTTATCCACAAGTTACTTTGTGCAGATTTGATGAGATGGAAATATATTGAGGTGAATGCACATACAGTCTATCTATGAACCATATAATTGTCAATATCAACTGAAATGTTTTACTACAATGATTGAGCAAATGGTCCGATGGTCTTTGAGTGGAAAAAAAAGCATTTTTGTTCAGAAATCTGGACCAGTAGTATGCAACAATTACTATCAGGAAAATACACATTTTACGCCTTACATAGTGTAATCTATCAGCAGCAGAACCATATCTCTCTCAGCCCTAAAGCCCATCCCATACAACACATATCTTCATTTACGGCCTACGCACAGCTGATAGAAGTACTGACGCACAGAGGGATGTGGTTATCTTCCACCTACATGAAAAACTCACGATAGGCTGTAGGTGTTATAAGACCAAGCTGGTAAAGCATGCTAAAAATCCAGCTCTGAAGAGAAAGCATGGCTCTAATTGAATTCTAGATGCAGATAGCTGCTGGGGAATGTGGGAAACATTCCTCACACGAAGCCCATATTTTTTTTGTGTGTGACCTGCAGACCTTAACGGTGGACCTTTGACTGGCCGACACCAGAGCAGGTGGAGAATCAGGTCCTCTGACACGGCAGGGCAGTGGATTCTGCTGGAGATTTATTTGGTGTTGGTTCAGTTACCTGTTGCTGGAGGAGTAATTACTCAGCAGGTTAGGGCACATGTGTATTTGATCACATAAAACACAAGAGGGCTGGTGTGTCGGGGGGGGGGAACTGAGTAGGGGTTTGGGCAATTAATAGCTTGTGTGTTTGGAAGTAATCTTTGCCAGTAAAAAAAACCAGATCACACCGCAATAAAACTCTGCAGGCCTCACACTCAACCTCTGACCTTCCTCTCATGCAGGGACATGACGATGGACTCTCCATCAACACCATCAGCAGGACCAGCATCTAACACAGGACTTTCACGCCTGGGGGGCATTGAAGACTTGACATTAAAGATGGGGCCGTCACGGAGGAACCTCTTCGGGCCCGTGGACCACCAGCAGCTGCAGCAGGACTTCCAGCAGCTGCTCTCGGTTAACTTGGAGGTGGCAAACAAGCGCTGGAACTTCAATTTCCAGAGCGATATGCCGGGAGAGGAGTCCACCATCCAGTGGGAGTCGCTCAGGTACCAGGACGTGCCGGTGTTTTACCACGGCTGCACGGTTAGGTCGGTGGGGAAAATACGGACATTGTCTTCGTCAAGCGAGGCGTCCCCGGGGTCCAGCAGCTCGTCCGGGTGTGGGGACGAGTATCCGGAGGTGTCCACAAGGGAGTACTACCGGATCCAACGGCAAAGAAAACGGAGACAGTCTACCATCACAGGTTAGTCCACCAAATGCTTTAAATAAAGCAATCGCAATTTGTGGTATGCTTACTCTTTTTCTTGCCAAGAGTTGAAGTCCAACTGTTCCTTGGCATTATGCAAAGTGACAAGCAGCAGATTTTTTTGCAATGCAGCAAATCTATTTCCGCTGACTTTGCATTGTTTTCTTTCCCTCTACAGATTTCTTCAAAGTGAAGAAGACGAAGTTCCTGCATTACAAAGGTTCTTCTCGGCAGTAGAAAAGCACACATCAAACCGATGGACGATCACCTAGTGGTCGACATCCGTCTACAGGTCACCTCACATTGATGTGTCACATCATATGTATATTTATGTAGCAATTTGTGACTGACTGTTCACAAGCTCATTCAGCGGGGGCTTTAAAACTTCTCTGACAACATATACCTTAGATTTCAGCAAAAGGAAGCTACCATTTTTATAGTTCATCAAGCTCAGACGGTTTTGTAGATAATTATAAATGTTTTATGTATTCTGTATACTGTTTTCCTCATCTTTAAACTGTGAAACTTATTTGAATGCACTCTTAACAACATAACACAGGCTCTAGTATTGAGAGGTTCATTTTCTTCTGAATGGGCCTTGGATTTTGACCTCAGTCCTTGACCTTTTTCTCGCTCTTGCTAAAAGTCATAAGAGGTTTTGATTAGCCGAGTTACTATTCCTGGCCTCGTGCCACACTTAGCCTTTCAGTCTCACCCCGGGGCTGCGATAGCACGAGTCGAGCCAGGGGTCAAAATCTCACCCAGGGCTCAAAATCTGGCAGCTCGACTGTGATTAGCTGCAGGGCAAAGGTCAGCGCTGGAGGTTTAGCTATGAGCTAATGCGGCCGTCGCTGTACAACAGTGACTTAAATAGCTATTTGATTATTTATTTATTATTCACAATGCTAAATTGTAAAAAAAAAAAAAAAAACGTAGAAACAAAAAAATAGACATGCAATGCATTAAATGAGATTAGACAAGGTTTTTTTTTAATTTTTTTTTTACTTTTATTGTCATTACACAGTAGGCCTACTTACTATGTAACAAAATGTTTTCTCTGCATTTGACCCATCCTAGTGTTCGGAGTTTGTGGAATCCTGTGCCATTAGTGCCCAAAAAAGTTATGAGTTGTTGCCACTTACTAATACTGGCCGTTTATATTTAACAACATAATAACTGCTAATCATATTAGCTTTCTGCTTTGCATTGTTGCATAATGGGCTGGTCAAATCTTATGGCAGCAGACCAAAACACACCTATAACTTTAGTCAGCTTCATGCGTGTAATAATGTAGCATTTTATCAGTGTGTCGCAGCTCAAAGGAACCTATGAAGAGTGGAGCTGCTTCACTTTTCTGTCTCTGTTCCCTTCTATACGTGCTCGTGTGTAAACACAGATCTGATTGTGTATGAGTGTTTCGGTTTGGTGTGAATCTTGAGGTTTGTGGCAGCTGAGGCAGATAAAACCAAAGACAAATTACTGTGCCATTAAATTAGAAACATTTATACAGGTCGCTCATCGGTCATCGAGGGTCTCAAACAAGTCTTGGTCTTTAGATAAGATGTGTTCCTACAGTCGTTTTAATTTGTTAATGGAAAACAAGCCATAATCAGGATTAATCCATTCTACCTCATGAATTCAGTGAAACAAACACATGTCATTTAAATGAAAGAAAACTAAACCAATGCAGCTCGGGGTTGTTTTCGTTTGCAGGCGAAAGAGAGAGAGAAACCAGGGGGGGGGGGGGGAGGAGGGGTCTATTATTTTGTTGTGGTAAAAGCTGTCGAGGTTCAGCGCTTAGTGTAGGGTTTCACATCATGTAAAAGAGTCAGTGTGTCAGAGAGGGGCCCCGCTCCGAGCTGAGGAAACTAGGGTTCCTCAGGAGGAGGAGGAGGAGGAAGGGGGGGAGGCAGCTATTGTTGTTTCTCCCTTCCTTTGCTCCCACATAAATAAAGCAGAGGACTATTCAAGTGGGGGAAAGGGAAAAGCTTTAATAAGGGAACCTTCCCCAGAAAGTGTTCAGACCCCTTCATGGATCGAGGGATTTCCCCAGCCAGTCAAGTGGCCGCGACTCACACACTCTTTTGTTTATCTCAGTCCGCCGTCAGGAATCAACCCCCCTCAGTCAGCCAAAGACTGTCATTAAAGCAGTTGTTCATAAATCTGTTACTCCTATAAGGCGCTGTTTCCCAGATCTAAAAATAGCAAGCATGGCTTTTTGAAATGATTTGATAATTTACAGGATTTCTTTGTCAATGTATCGGTGTGTTTGTGTGTGTAAGAGAATGTGTGTGCACCAGACGAAACTTTAAAAAAAATCTATATTAACTTATGAGTTATGCTTGCGGTATAACTAATTGTGTCTTCTGGACCTATATATTTGCACTACTTTAAAACATTATTGACAAGTTAATTAAAAAAAGTACAACCTGTTCTCTGAGAACAGGTTGTACTTTTTTCACATTGAGAATTTTTGGCAGCATTGTTGGTGTTTCTTAAGTCTGTTTGGTGGAAAAACTAAATTAAAAAACCTGTTTCGATAAAGTTAGTTAGTGTCTCGTTGTGCCCAAGCAAACTTCCCTTTTCAAAATCACGTGACGCAGCTATATCGAAGTGTAGCATTATTTGTTTTTGTATATGCATGAATGTATGATAATCCAACTTTTGTAATAATTGTATTATAATTGAATGCTGGTTTATGCTCCCTTTCAACATGTAAGAAGTGTATTTGTGTAGGATCATATCCTTTTTGATAATAATTGTAAAGATGTATTGCTGGGTTGTTGGTGCTTTGTAAAATGCCTTTCAAATGTGTCGATTTCATATAGCGTGCTCTAAATAATAAAATGAATGTATGAGATTCATATAAACTACAAAATGCTGGTCCGAAGTTTTTGTTTCCACTCTGGTTTTAGTTGTTAGGCATGGATGTATTACTAAGAGCACTTTATTCACTTATAGTGACCCCTGGTGGACTGCAGTGACATTGCACACAGTCAATTACCTGGAAATATACCAAAAACCTTAAAAGAAAACAATAGAACTAAATTCATTTAAAAAATCCCCCCATTTGTATTTTATCTGACATATTTTATACATTACTCACAATTTACAAAATGTAATTTGCATTTATTTAAAATGAAAATTTGCATTTACATCGGTTAAAAGTCGACAAGTACACATAAATAAAGATAAAACAAAAAGACACCACAGATAGTGTAATTTACATTCTTTTACACAAAGTCGAGACTCGTTTTTAGCTCCGGGGCTCTTGGTTTAGTGCGTGGAACACGTCTCACATCACAGATGGTGGCACGAAGAAGCCCTGATGTCAACGTCTCCACATGTTAAAAGCACTTAAAGTGGTTATAAGCAGGGGAGCAAACTACTTGGTTTTTCTGTTCGCTATAAAATCACAAATTAAAGTCTCTTTTTTTACAGATTTCAACCAAAATCATCTTGCTTAAAAATGAAGGCTGGTTTTTGACACTGCTAAGACATTAACTCACATAAAGCTGGTGTTTCATGAACATTTCCTCACTCAAACTTAGACATAAAGTATTTTACCTTGAAAATGTAATTAATCTGTTCAAACACAGATTCACAAACGTGCAACTTCACACAAGAAACAAATTGAGTTTTTTCTAAAATGTCAGTATGCACTTCACACCTAAATGTGCAATAGGCATGCTACACTGTAAACTAAATGTGAGACGTGGGTTTTTCGACAGAATTGTGTTTCTGTCAGTTAAAAGGGTGTTTGTGAAAGTGTTTTTTAAAACAACTGTGTGTGACGTGAGACACTGAAACTTAAAAAAGGAATAAGCATATATCAATCCCTGACTGACATATATTATAAAGAGAAATGAGAGAACCAGTCCCCTTATACAGTAACCTGATTACACAAAACTGTACACAAGAGAAATCAAAGCTTCCCAAAACCCTGCTAAGGTCTGAGTGGTTCATTAAAAATCTTTAAGACTTGTTACTGGACTACAGTGCAATATTATTCATCTGGACCAAAAATATCATACATATCTACAAAAGCTGACAATCAATTTATACATTACAATTATTATTCACATTCTTCAGGCAACTGAAAGTCTCAGAGGGCTTGATCTTAACTAAAGAGCTTCTTATCTAAAATTCCAATCTTATTTTTACATCCATTTAAATCCTTAAATATGTACAGTAGTAGTGTGATGGTGCAGATTGGACGGCAAAGTCCATTTTAAAAGTATATTCTTTTAAAACCAGCATTCAGTTTAAACTTCATATCTTTCTTTTCACACTAAAATAATTGAGCATTTACACTTTTAGGCTTCTAGTGACAGGATAAGACTGCAGTGTTGTGCCCTGTGGCTGTGAACCGTCCTGGCTGTGTGGAACAACAGCCCACCAATTTTTTCCATCTCCCAAAACTCACCTAAAATGAGCAGTTTGTGAGCTGCGTTGTCACTCGATAAGAGTAGCAACATTACAGCTGACAGGACGATGGAGCGTTCACAGCTGGCGACGCAGCGCTTGTCTTTCTCTCCACATCTCACGCACCTCTTTGTGGAGCAAAGGAGTGATGAACACAATGCTGCCCGCCGTCTGTAGCAGGAAATAAAAGGAAAGTTACACAAGGGTTTGCAAGAGGACACACAGTAAAGAAAAGTAAAGAAAAGTGATGAAAAATGGGCAAAACTAATTGGTTTATGAGCCCGAAATTAAAATGTACTTTAGGACCAAGGAAAAAAAGACAAGTCACATTAATATAGTAAGTAAGAATTGGCAAAAAAAAAAAATATTCATGCCAATATATTGTAAAAACAGACACCTGTAGGATGGGCATTTTCAACAACCGACATTTTGAAAAGCACAGGTGTTATTAACGATGGCTCTGCTTTGAAGTGCACAGGTGTTACTAACGATACTAACGATGGCTCTGCTTTGAAGTGCACAGGTGTTACTAACGATACTAACGATGGCTGTGTTCATTACCGACCCTTATCATCTACACCTGTGCTTTCCCTACTGTGGAAATGTCTTCAGTTAAAAGGACTGCTGTGATAGGAGGACACTATCTCACCATGGCGATGAAGAAGTAGAAGACTTGAATCCAGCCCAGCTTGCTCTCTATCAGCGACACCAGGTACTGCAGGATGACAGAGATTACATGTATATAAAACAAGGAGTGTGCTAGTAGGAGGAAATAACATTAACAACTCAAATAAATGAGATAAATAAAAACAGTTTAAAATAACCATAGAAAATACCATAACACTCACTGAAATGGGCAAAGACCGTAGTTAAAATAACTACATTGAGAAATGCAAGGTTTTCCAGTGTATACATTACAAAACAAACATTTTTAAATGTATTTAACTAAAAAAATTAACTAAAAAAAACGTATGGTTATAAAGATGGATAAATAAATGTTGAATCAATTCTGAACTATTTGATACATGGACAATTAAAATGTACAAATACATTGAGATAGAAAAATGTATTCGATGACTTTAAATATATTGGCTCTTTTTTGGTATGGACTGAAGCAGCAGGGTAAATGTGGCTTAACAAGCCATGATGGAACAACATTGAACAGCTTTGCCTGTTATTGAACCTGGTCATTTCCTGGTCATTTAATGCACTTTATTCTGTAGTATTTTTGCTTACCTGTCCCGCAGCGGCTCCTATACTTCCTGTCCCGTCCACTATGCCGGTGACTGTAGCCAAAGCCTTCTGACTCCCCCTCAAAGCGTCCTGCCTCCCCAGGTCAGCAGAGATGGCCGAACTGATCATATTAGATGGGCCGCCAATGAAGAAGCCCGTAGTTGTCAACAGCGCAGCGTTTATTACCTGGTCATTAGGTGAGTCTGAGGAGGACGGAGAGTGAGAAAGAGAGTCTCATACTGTGGCTGATATTGTGGTATTGACACAATCATGCTGGTCAACGACTCGTAAACCCTGTACTCACGGCTGTATCCCACCAGGGATGCCATCGCCAGCGCCAGACTGAGGGCCAAAACCGGGGATCTCTTGCCCATCAAGTCAGAAATGAAACCCTGAATCGTCCCTCCTGAAACAAAGACAGAAACACAATGAGAAACTGACATTCAAACTCTGCGGACATTTATGTATAAACTGAGACAGAGGTATTATTTTACTCAAAATAATGATTTGACCTGTACAATTCTGCTTAAGGTTAGCAAACGGTAATACTGTAGACTAGTCACTGTTTTCGGCTTCCTTTATGAATCTTACTCATATTTGAAACCCAAAAACCACTTAAACATTCATTTGTATTATTGTAATGCTAAATCATTTTGGGTGATATTGACTCTGACTTTCCCGCCATAAAACTTCGAATGGCACTCCAATTACTTTGTCATAAAAATGTCATACATTTTTAAGAAAGGACCCAGTTACATCATTTGTTTAATTTAGTCCAATTGTGTGCTATCTACGTGTCAAATAATCTAATGGAGCATCATTACATCCATAAATGTAAAGAATATTTATCTCAAAAACTCAAATTTGTTATTGAACGATTAAATAAACAATGGGCAGAAAAATGCAGATTCCCCTGCTGCTCACCGAGGATTCCTCCGACATCGTACCACACAGACAGGCGGTCAGAATCGGCCTCCTTCCAGCCAAAGTTGTTGGTCAGGTAGAAAGGGAGCCAGAAGAAGAAGGAGTAGTTGACCAGCTTCAGACACGCATACGCCAGGGAATACTGCAGGACAAACAGACCAGGAGAGTCAACAGCTTGTTCGTTTAAAAGCTTATTGTAAAAAACCTTTAGTTGGGAGTTGTCTACTCACCGGCAGCACTCCAGGCAGACAGAAGGCCTGGCAGAAGGTCACGGGGAGAGGGGCCTCAGCCAGAGGATCCTCCGGCTCCTGAATCGAGTGGTAATGTCTGTCGTCCACCTCGGCGTCCTCCTCCTCCTCTTCGTCGCTCATCAGAGGCCGGTGGCTGTCCGTGTCCGTCTCCACCGGACTCAGGCCAGTCTCTGCCTCCAAGCTCAAACCTGACACACACACACACAAGTGGTGTCAATCGAGATCTTAAATGCGTTTCCAAATAAATCGCGTATAGGTTCAGGGCCCTCATATACACACACTCAGGATGTGGAGATTGCCTAAGATCAATCGTTTTAGGCAACAAAAGACCAAGTGAGGGATAAATCAAGTGAGGTGAAAACGGAATTAAGAGGAATTTCATCGAGAATACGGTCACTGGAGCGTCATTTTTTGGTAATGTTTGAACACTAACAATACACGTTGCTCTAACATGTTCCTCGCAGTCCTTACCGACTTCTTTCGGGGAGGTCAGCAGGCCGAAGAACACCACCACCCCACCGGCAAACTGCACCACCGAGGTCACCAAGAAGGCGTACTGAGCACAGCAACACACAGCACATCGTGTTAACTTCTGGTTTCTGAGGATAGGCATTGTTAAATGTGTGGCAGTGGAATTTATTTATTTGTGCACCTGCTACTGGTTTCAATTGTGTTTCTTACCTCGTATCCATACTTGAGCACGCTAGAAGCCAGGAAAGCCCCCAGTATGTTTCCTACAGAGGCACAGGCGCTCCACAGGCCAAACACAAAGCCACGGCTGGAAGACAACATCATGGATTCAATTAGAAATACATATGTACAAGTGTTTTTTTTTTAAACGCCTCTGGTTACATTACACTTTAACCATTGCACTAAACTCCACGAACAGCTCAGTGACTTGCTATCTTTAAGTTTGAGCAAATAAGGACTACTGAAGGTAAAGTGTGTCTAAATGGCGTCTAAGTTTAGGTAGCGGCACCAGTGAATGGATGCCTTTGTGTAATGTGTTTCTGTGTGTACCATAAAGCTCTACTTGAGAGACTGGAACTCTAGGCTAGATACTTCTAAATAGATAGATACTTTATTCATCCTACATTTTGTCCCAGCAGCAGTGTTGTTGTTAAGTATTACACACGAGTGAAAAATATTTAAAAGATACAAATGTAATAAAACTAAACATTTGAATTAACAGCAAATAAATACAAAATTACAATAGAAAATATATCACTAGAGTATCTATCCATCCATCTATCTATCTGGAAAACAGAAATATACAGGAACATATTGACATTGGCTTAGGCTGGACAGATGTTCCAGATGTAATTCTTGAACAAATATCAGATAAATGCAGGTTTAGTAAACAGACGCACTCCGCCTTGCCGAACCAGTTCCCCATGACGGCCACCACGCAGGGCCACACAGCGGACTGCAGCAGGCCGTTCAGCACCCACAGCCCGCAGTACAGATACACGTTGTAGATCTTGAGCCATTCGGTGAGAGTGCCAAACACAAACTCCTGCAGACACACAGTTAAAACATTTCATACAACTTCAGTGTATTTACAAAACGTGTTGACGGATCTTTGATATTCAATTAAAACGCACGATATATGTTCTAATCTAATGGAAACCCTGTTCAAAACAAATAGACCCAGTGTTTAAAACTGAGTAAAGGGGCTCTATTTCGCTCATTTTCAATTTCATAGTTGTGTTTTGAGCCTCTCTACCATGGCATGTTTAAATGCTTTTATGTTCAAAAAGTGAAAGGGAAAACCCCAGAAAGAAGAACAGGGGCCCAGTAAAACACTGAATAAAGCAGTTTCACATCAATATACACTGTTTCTCCAAAGCTCTTTGTCTGTCGCTAGCAGTTTCTTAGCTTTTTCTCTGATGACTTAAAGGTCCCATGACATTTCTGCTGATCATAATTCCATTGTTGAGGTCTACTAGAATACATTTATATTGTGCAATTTTCCAAACTCACATTGGTTTCTCATACAGCATCTCTGTATAGTATGTGTATTCACTCTGTCCTAAACGGCTTGTTGGAGTTCCTGCCCCCCCCCCCC